GACCAGGTATCCTGGTCTAGTATAGCGAACAGATATGTTTTCCTAAACAGAATCTTCTAAAGAGTTTTTGTGGTAAATTGCAAATATGGCCACAATTTTATTTTACAACACTTCCTATTTAGAAGTAAAGTCTATTTTCCCTACGTAGTGAATTTGGGCTGCCAATGGACTGATGGAAGTAGTGTTAGGTGAACTCTAAACTTGGACCTCAGGAGACCTTTTTGCTTTGAACTATTTGGAACGCTGCTGCTACCATTTGAAGCAGCCCAGCTGAGCCTGCTGGAGGATGGCAGACCCCCTGGAACAGATGGAACATCTCAGCTGAGGCTCCTCTGGACCATCTGTCCCGACGTGCCTGCAGATGCAGTGAGTCCAGCTGAACTCAGCCCAGGGTGCTAAAATGCAGAAGCATGAGTGGAATATCATGATCAGAAACTACAGAACAAACACTTATAACAAGCCACTATGTTTAATTAGTCCTCGATATAAAGGACTAATTCCGGTGAGGGGATGTGTCTGTTAAAGGTAAAAGTACATCTATATATATATATATAAGCCCAGTGACTGGAAAGGCAGAATGACCAGAATGACTGGTGGCTATGATGCGCACTGTGGCAGCCAACCAGCCTGAGGAGCTTTCTGGGCTCTCCACCAACCCCTCCCACAATCCTTTTCTGTTCTTACCCCTCACCAAAAATTCTCAAACCCAGACACCTGGGCAGAAACTAACCTACGTAATCTAGGTGTCCAAGAGGAACAGTTACGGCTCTTGAGGAAAGAAGAAGGACCCTGCTCGGAGGGTGTGGTTGTTGAGGGTAAAGAGAAGGGAGGGGGAGGTATAGTGAGAAGAATTCTGGGTCTTGGACTGAGGGAATCCTGAACACAGCATGAAGAAGGGAGAGAAATGAGCTAAACTCTTGGGGTAGGTGAGGTTTCAGATCTTGAACTGAGACTAGAAAGAGTTAGGGAATTCTTTCACCCCGAAAGGTATGGGATTCAGCCTTGAGAAACTGTGCCTGGGCAGCTCTGGCTCTGAAGCACATTTTTTTAATAGAGTAGAGTTAGTACCAGTACATTTCCTTCATCTGATATGTGCTTGATTTGTGAAGGGGAGAATACGGATGCCCAAATTGGGGTGGGAACAGAAGCAGAAGAAATTTGCCTGGTAGATATATGTCTTCTCCTGTGCAATGCTATTCAGCCTGGAACATGCAGTCTATTAAACAGAGAAAACACCAGCTTTGAACCGCTTATCTTTGTTGTTTGAGTGGCATTGTGGTTTTTTTTAACCTCACAGCTTGGTAAAGAGGGTAAGGATATGGAAAAAATTCCCACCTAGTAATGTGGCATTAGTTAGAGATCTTCAGTGCTGAGTGCCAATTAGATTTAAGTTTCATAGCTATAAGTTTATATCTATAAAGTAATTTCTCTAAATGAAACTCCCAATGGAAACTAAGTGCATTTCCAGTCTGAAACTCTCTCTCGATGCTTTTGTTTGGGTGTTGATTTTAAATTAGAACTGTTTCCGTTGGGTTGTAGGAGAGAGTGTATCATATTGCCACGACCTCATTCCACTCTCTTTCATGCACTTGTTCTCTTTCTGGTGTATTTTCAGAACCTCCTCACTCCTTGTGTTTGAGCATTTGAAGAAAATGAATTGTAGGGAGGCAGTACTTTTCTTAGGTGGTCATAACCATGCTGGAAGGAGCCTAGGTGGAGATGAGTTTGGCCTTCCAGTCAGGCGAACAGGGATGGAAGAACAGGGCTTTCTAAGCTTTCCAGGGCAGGCAATTGAGCCATTTCCCCAAATCACTGCTTTTCTCACTCAGGTCTCCTCCTTTGCTGAGGGTGGCCTCTGAGGTTTGGGTAGCTCTTGTCCTCCCATACTCAGCCCCGATGCCTGGTTTTTGTAGCACTTCTCCCTACAGTCCCACCCTGCCTGGGAATACCTTTTTCACTGATACACCTGGTAGCCCAAGACTTGGTACCAACTACTGGAGAGCATTTATTACTTCGTCGGCAAAAGGAAAAGAAGAGGGAGGAAACACCCACTCTGCCCACTACAAGGCTAGCCCTGTCACCTCTCGGGTTCGAAGATGTCTTTGGCTTCTACCATGCCTCCTTCTGCCACAGGCCTTCCCATATGGTGTCCCCTCTGCCGTGAGTGAACTTTTTTCTCCTCTTTGCCGACTTAGATTCTGCCCATTAAAAAAATCACAATTTAAGCATCACTTGTTCAAAAGAGCTTTCCCTACTTCCTGACAGACTCACATCTCCCTTTCCTAAGCTCTCTGAAAGCCTTCTTCCTTGGACGCGTTGCAGGAGGCTTTGGAGGCTTGGAGTCCTTTCCCTTGAAACCAGCGTGAGCCAGGACGTCTCTTCGGAAGGCTGAAGGGCTCCTCTTGGACGCTCTGCAGAGGTCTCCCCCTCAGCTCAGTGGAGCATGAGCCAGGCATCCAGTTTTAGGTTAACCTGCTGTTGACTGACTGTGTGACCACGAGCAGGTCACCTCCTCTGGATCTTATCTTCCTGATCTCTTATATTGGGGAAAGCCGAGGCCTGTTCAGCACTAAAAATGTGTGGGACATTTTAAAAGAGCAGCTATTCATGGAATACTACCAGTTTTAATAATTCCAATAAACATTTGATAACTATTTTAAGAAGATAAAAAGCAGTTAGGAAAGAAACAACTTGTTCTTTTCCAAGCCTGATTTTGTAGGTCAACAGTGAGCTACTTAGTGTAAAATGTCTGCTATTTGAGGTTCTATTAGTGGTACTAGTTGACCTCCCAAGTTTCATTCAGAAATAAAAAATGTAATGGTATTTTTTCAGTATATTTGTAGTATTTTATTAAGCACGGAGCTGCTCCGACCAGGGATTCAGATTTTAAAACAGGCAGGAATTTGTTTAGGTGCCCATTTCAGTTAGAGGCAGAAGAACACTTAGTCTCGGTTATTTGTTTCAGGATTTACACATACTTATACACAGGTGAGCTTGTATGTCTGTATGTAAGTTCTGTGTCATGAGATAACATATTTCTTACTGTGAATTATACATCAGAGAATTTAAAAGTAGTTGATTTAAGATGAGTTATGTGATTAAGCTTAATAATGTAATCTTAATTTTTCATTTAAGATCAGAGTTTAACAGGTGATGCATGGAACGCAGAGGAAGCAATTCCACACACCAGATGAATTCAGGATTGTTAACTTTCCTTAATGGAAAACTAGAAAGGGCTTGAAAAAAGAATACACCTTTGTAGATGAGCTGTTTGTTTTACTATGAGTATTGCGATGGAGAAAATGCTCTAATTATCCTATGTAATAAAAGGCTAATATGCAAATTGACTGAACAGCAGAACAACTGATCGTTATGACGCGCTCTGACCACCAGGGTGAAGACGCTCAGTACAGGCGCTGTGCCCTGGTGGTCAGTGCGCACCTACAGGGGAAGCCTGCTCACCCAGAAGCCGGGCTCACTGTGGGCAAATGCAAGGGTGGTGGCGGGAGCCTCCCTTGACTCCGCAGCAGCGCCGAGATGTCCGACAGATAGCTTCGGCCCGCTCTCTGTGAGGGAATGGGCCTATGCCGGCAGTTGGACATCCCCCAAGGCACCCACCTTGCAAGAGGGCATAGGCAGGGTTGAGGAACCCCCCATCGAGTGCACACATTTTGTGCACTGAACCTCTCTAGTGCATTTATAAAAGACCAGAAAATTTGATTTAGTCATCTCTGGCTTTAGCTTAGCCCCTTCTATTTCTGTACTGCAAACTAGAGTCATCTGTGATAAGGAAATGATTTGATTCCTCAAAAGAAAAAATAGTGTATTCTAGTGCTAAAGATAAATATACAATTTGGAGGATTATTCTTTTGAAAATTGGTAATGTAGCCATGGCAAAGGTGACGAAGTTTAGTTAATGTTGGACAGCTTTTTTTCACCATTGGAAAGAGTGCTTGATGGTCTTACTTAAAATAACCTGGGTTCGCCCAAGCAGCTGGGTGGCCCAGCTGGGTTTGAATATGCCCTTAGTTGTGGTAAGAGGATGATGTGGTGTTTTTCTTCAGAAAAAAAGGAAGGGTTCTCTTTATGTTAAAAAATAAAATAAAATAAAATTATTAAACTTTAGGGCATGGCCAGGCTGATCTTTCAAGAAACAAGTTATAATGTGATTTTTAATACTTAGTGACAAACACAATTCGGTAACGTTACAAAAAGGTGCCATTGAAAAAAAATCTGTTACTTGTCTGTCTTGAAATATTTCTCCAGGCAGTAGCAGATAATGATTTTTTCAGTAGTCACTAATGTGGTATTTAAAACACAAAATAAGCTAATTTTTTTGGCCAATGTGCTGATACAAAGCCAGTTGATCTTTTTTACTATACTATCAGTGTTTGGGTAAAGAGCACATGCCTCAGAGTTAGCCAGACCTGGACTTATTAACACTTTGATCTGTTTAAAGTTCCATAATTCTCTGAATTTCAGTTGTTCATCTCTAAAATTGAAAATGTTGTCTACTTTATAAGCATTTTATGAGGATATACATATTTATCTCAATTCCATGGCATTCAATATATGTTGTTGCTATTATTATATTTATCATAATATAAATAATACTTTGTACTATTAATAAATAAGTAGGTCACTTGGGGTCGGCTTTCTAAACTCCCTGTACATATTATATACAGGGCATGTAGTGGCCAAAGATATCAATTTATGACTTTTTGCAAATTGCAATATTTGTAGTTTTCTATATAGTTTCATTCTGATGCTTTTCTTTTCATGAAAAAAACAATAAGAATTCAAGGATGTTATGTATGTACTTGGAGTCACCATATACATGCTTGAGTGTCATCATTGACTAAACAGTATAATACTCATAAAATATGTGTTTGAAAGTTTTATAAACAGGAGTGGTAAGTGGAATTAAAAGTGCAATTTATTGAATTTTTTAGATTTCTAAAATATGTAATAATAAATCTACATTGTTTTCTTTTTAACAGATGGGCTTAGGTCATGAGCAAGGATTTGGAGCCCCCTGCTTAAGATGCAAAGAAAAATGTGAAGGATTTGAACTGCACTTTTGGAGGTAATACTATTTGGAGAACTACAACCACATCAGGAATTTCTGCTGTTTGGCAATGCTTTCTCAGACAGTGCACATCTCTCACAAGTTCTCTTGGTTGGTTGCTAAGTTGGAGATCTGTTACTTTCTTTTATAAGAAATAAATAAAAAATAAAGCTAGCCTGTCTTCCTGTCAAGTTTGAGCTAATTGGGCCATACTAACTATATTTAGAATTGTTTGATTTGTTTACTGTCCTTCACATTTCTTGTGGATCTAGAATATTGAGTGTGTCTCTTTATGGTTTGTGGTAATCTCCTGGACTTGTTTATTAATTTAATGATTAGTCTTTTATAATTATTGATAACTTTGCACATCTTTGTCTGTATATTTGCAATAAACAGTAAGTTTGAATGATGTATTCTGGTCCAGATTGTTAGGAAATTTAAAACTGGATTTCTTCAAAATTTTCAGCTATAAATTTATTGCTGAGAAACTTTGAAGCAATTGAATTTATGAGAATAACAACTAAATGATCATTCATTGCCAGTGTCTTGATTTGAATCAAATGCCTATATTATGGAGGACAAATATTAGTAGGTGAAAAATGTGAATTTTGTATAGATCTTAACTTCATGTTTTAAAAGTAATAGTGTATGTCATATAAAGCTAAAATTATATTTAAAATCTCTTCTTAGGAAGAACATGAATGGTGTTCATCAATGGTTGTCAAGACCATAATGGTAGTTTCTAAATCTGTTCAAAGCTAGAATCAACACATTACTGTTAGAAGGAAAAAAATAATCAGAACACATCATTAGGATGTCAGCTGCCTGTTAGAATGACCCTCACTTGAGAACCTCTTCTGAACTTCCTGTTTTCATAGGAAGTTCATAGTAAAAGGCTGTGTACAGCATAAGTTAAAAAAGAATGTAAAAAGTAAAAAATAAATGATGGGATATTAGGTACTTTTAAAGGCAAATTTATTTAGCCCTGGTCAGTGTGGCTCAGTTGGTTAGAGCATCGTCCTGTTCACTGAAAGATTGTTGAATCTAGTCCTAGTCCTGACACAAACCTAGGTTGGTACATACAGGAGGCAACTGATCGATACTTCTCTTTCTCTCTTCCTCTCTCTCTAAAAGAAAAAAAAAAAAAAAAGCTACCTTTTTAAGTTTTCGGAAACAAAAAGGCTGTTGTTTTAAATAGTGAAGACAACACAAACCTCAGCCCTCCCAGAAATGATCATATTGTTTTTTTATTTGTAGGGAGATACATTTTTCCAGGAAGTTTTTTAATTACTGTAAGACTTTCCTAGCTCATCTTTGTGCTACCTTTTCAAAGATGACTGTTAAGCAATACGTCTGACATGTTTTAGAAAAGTAAAGTCACTAGACAGACACACAATAGTTTTAGTGGATTATAATATTTCAGCCCCTTATATGCTCACCATTCTCTATTGTGCCCATAGGCTTTGTGGAGAGCTACACTGCCCTCTGCTGGGCATAAAGTTCTTACTTTAAAATCTTAAAATACTCTATTGTAGTTCTGCTATACAGTTGCCAAAAATTGCTATGAGATTTTTAAAGCTCATTTCTAAATGACAACATCTTTTCTATAAGCCAGAAGATTAGTTTAATGTAATTTTGTTTTCTTTGTATTATTTTCCTATTTCAGGTCATAATCTGATATTTTGAGGTAAAAATATATCAGGTAAGAGCAGATTTTTGTGGCATGAAAATTACAATTTTTTTTTTCCCTTTGAAACAGAATCATTTACTTGTCTAGGGGTAGTTGTAGACAATGTTAAGAGCCATAACAAACTAGGGCTTTCGTATGTTCCCCCCATCTAGCTTGGCCCCATCCACATGGTACTAGTTCTGTCTTCTTCCTGTCAGGAGTCCAGATATATTTTTGTGAGAATTCTTGATAATTCTCTGACTTTTTTTTTTTTTTTTTTTTTTTTAACCACAACTGGAAGGCTTTGAGGGTAGTGCCCTTGACCTACAGATGACCCATTTTCTTCAGTAGCCTTTGAAGTAAAATATTATAGGCTGGTTATCCTGAGTGTAACAAAAATTTCAGGTCGAGTCTAGGGCCACAGAACTGCTGTGATTAAAGTGGGGATGGGGTCCCAGGGACCTGCCCACTTAGCCTCCTCCATTTTTATGTTGACCTTTGACTTCTAGGACCCAGGGGTTTTGTGAGGCACAATGTGAGCGTCAGAGCTAAATTATTCTCCACTTTATACCAGTCTGTCCTTCTACAGCCACAAGAGTGTTCCTTTGAAAATGGATACTGTCATATACTTCCCAATACGTAAGAACCTTTGGTGCTATCCCACTGAACTTGATCCTTTGGGTTAAGTCTTTGTCCTTTGATGTTAAACCTCAGTGTCTGGCCTCAGCTTGCTTTTCTAGCCTTCTCTCCACTCCCCTTCCAAGCACCACACAGCTTGGATGGAGGCTGCTGCCTAACATTTCTGTGCCTTGTTGCGGGAAAGACCATGGATCTCACCACCAGGAAACACAAAGTCCTTCCCAGTCTTCATGCTTCGGCTCAAGCACTACCTCTGACAAGCCCCCCTTGCCTCCAGTATCAGTCTGCCAGGCTTCAGTAACAAAGTACAATAGGCTGTGTGCCTTCAACAACAGAAACTTATTTCCTTATAATTCTGGAGGCTAGCAGTCCAAGATCAGGATGCCAGCATGGTTGGTTTTAGTGAGAAGCCTCTTTCTGGTCTGTAGATGGCCACCATCTTGCTGTGTCTTTACATGGCCTACATGGCCTTTCCTTCTCAGGGTGTTTACATGGAAAGATCTCTCTTTCCCCGCCCCTCCCTTCCTTCCCTCCCCCCCTCCCCATCTCTCTCTTGCTCTTGTTATAAGGCCACCATCCTATTAGGTTAAAGCCCCACTCTTATGGCCTCTTATAACTTTATCTCTTGAAAGCTCTATCTCCAAATATATTCACATTGGGGGTTAGGGCTTCAACATAAGATTTAATTGATACAATATCCATTTATGCATTACATCAGAAGTCTGGCAGGCTTATCTGGATTCCCTGCTTAGGGCCTCAAAAGGGTGAAATCTTGGCCATCTTGGGCTCTTATTTGGAGGCTCTGGGGAAACAACCTGCTTCCAGACTCATTTCTGATGTTGATAGGATTCATTTCCTTGAAGTCATAGGCCACATCCCTGTTTTATTGCTGGCTGTCAGCCAGGGGCTGCTCTCAGCTTCCAGAAGCTGCTCCTATTCACACAGAGCCACCTCCATCTTCAAAGCCGACAACAGTGCTTAGAATCCTTTCTGCACCTCATATCTCTCCTCCTTCCTCTTCTGTTCTCAGCCAGAGAAAACTCATCGCTTGTTAAGGGTTCATGTGATTAGATTAGGAAAATTTGGATAATTTCCCTTCTGCCATGTAAAGTTACATGATCGTGAAAGTAATACCTTTGAGTAAAGGTGCTAGGAACCATTTTAAAATTCTGCTTATCACAACATTTTATGTACCTGGCTGTACCTTTGAGATAAGTGATAGTTTTCCCATCCTATCTAATAAAGAAGGAAAAGGCTAATTGACCCTCACGCCATCACAAAGATGGCAGCACCCACAGCCAGTAAGGGAATATGCTAATTGATTGCCCCACCCTCAAATATGGTGGCGCACAGCCAGGCTGGGCCCACTCCTGCCATGCGCCTGCCTCCAGAGTCCCCCAATCCCCTCAAGCCCCCAGCTGCCCAGGGCCGGCCCAAGGCGCAGGCAAGTCTCGAATGGCCGCCTGAGGCTCAGGTAACCAGGGCCCGCCGAGACTTGCATTTCCGATAGAGGCAGCAGCAGAGTTCTGAAGGGGCATCGCCTTACCCTGATCGCAGGGTCACCTCTCATCCCTGAGGGCTCCTGGATTGTGAGAGGGGGCAGGCCTGGCTGAGGGATTCCCGCCCCCCTTCCCCCTCCAGTGCATGAATTTTCATGCACTGGGCCTCTAGTTTTATATATGAGAAATCATAGACTTAGGAAAGTCAAATAACCTACCAATGACATGGTTTAAAGATGGCTGGAGTTTGGATCCAAAGCTTGCCAAAACCTTCCTTATCACCACCACCTTTCTACATGGCAGAGCGGAAACTGGAGCGCAGGCTTACACTGCTGTGACCAGTGAACATCAAACAGCACCAGGCTGTCTTCTCTAAAGGGTGGTATTTTTGGATACAGACATCTTAGTGAACAAGGGGGCTCTTTACCTACGAGTTCTGCCCTTCGCCAGTCTTCTTCAGTGCACCAATGATTACAGGACTGGAGGAGCATAAAAGATTAAGGATGCCTGACACTTACTGAGTAACATTTAACTATTACTCTTTCAAGTAATATTTAGAGATAACAAATATTTATGAAATGTAAGACATAAACCCAAGATTTTAAGAAGTATATAGCCAATTATTTCATATTGAAAGTATAGCAATACCATGGGAGCCACAGATGAGTTGAGGGACGGTCTGATTGGTGTAGAGCTGGCTGAGACCAAAAATTTCCCACCATAAACGGACTCGTGCCTGTGCCGAATCCTGTAACAGAGGCCCACACTTAAGTCCATATTTGGGTAACCCGTTATAAAAGGGCATCTTCCAGCCCTTTTAAAGTGAGGGTTGGTGGCGGAGCCTTGGCCATGCCTCTAAATCACTGTGAATGCTGGCAACTTGCTAGAGCACTCCGGTTGCTACTACTTGCGTTGGGAAAATAATTTTTACAAATAGGGACATAAAAATATTTCTCTTTTCAGAGGATGAGGGATAGTTTGAATGCCTTCAGCTTGAAACTGGAAATCTATGTGTGTGTGTTTGAAGCAATGCTTTTGGTAAATTGTGGTACTAAGATTTATTAAAAGAACTCTGAAGTTGTAATGTAAAATTGTGAGTATGAAGTTTTGATTTGTCATACATAGTAAATATTTGCATGTGTATTTGTTAATGCACTAAACTTTTTTTGTATAATGAGCTTCTTTGTACAAATAGTCTTCCTCTCTCAACA